GGCTTGCTAGCAGCTCCATTCATTCATTTTGTTTTCTTTGCTCTGTAATAACAGTTCACTTTCAAAAGAATGCTAGGCTCTGAACAAAACTTTCTGTAAAACTGTAGATCACTCTGTGAGGGGTCATCACATGTGCTCGCAAGTTAGTGAAATTTTGTATAATTACGAGTCCTGTCTTTGTGTTTTATTCCGTGTGTCAAAGTTCATCATAATAAAAAAATTAAAAGAAGGACGAGAGGAAAATTCCAAAGTCTGTCTCAGCCAGGTGTCAAGTGGGGACGCAAATCAACAAAATAACCAAATACAAACGCTTTCTGGGCTCATATGAAGTGCACTGAAAAATTGCAAAAATTTGCCTGGCCCTGAATTCGAACAAGGAAATTCAAATCTGACAATTTCAAATACGAACATGTGACTTCACCCATTTGAATCTGGAACGCTACTGATACACCACCAGGTTCACTGTCATGACTGCTTTCTCTTAGCCCTGTTTGCGAGATGAGTGAGATAAGGGGATCTAGAGGGCGCCACAGTGAAAAGAATCCCTCGAAACTTTGTTCAGAGATCGTAAACGGATTTGAGCTCAGCGTGCAAGACGCGCGCATCGGACTACAACACATTACGAAGGCCAGACTGACCAAATGACTATTCCTTGTTAGCGAACTTTCTGAGTCCGTATCCGGAGCCCTATGGTCTCTTGTATGTATGAGCTTGATGTGTTGGCGACAACTGTCCTTCCGATCCGAGTCTTCACACAAGAACGATTTATCAGTTCAGGGCATAAGTTACATCGCGACGATCGTTGCACTGGAACGCGCTGGCGGACATTCGGAGCACATTTAAATGTGCCGTTGCGCGAAAAAGTTTAGCATCTACTTCCTTGACAACCCTTGGGCGGCCCCTAAGCAAAAAGGTATGGTTATGGTTTCCGCAGTTTTCCTTCAACGCGTTTCGCATCGGAGGATGTTCGCTGCCGTTCCTCCTCGCTGCTTAACTATCACGGGCTCATGCTTCCTTTTCTACAGTGATGACGCTCCGCACATTTGACACCCATTTTTTCGTCGCAGGTTGTAGTAGTGGAATACGCAGAGAACACGCCAACTGATCACGTCGAAACATGTGACATTGCGCGCCCCACGAATGTGATTACGGTTGAATCAATTCGAAGTACAAAAGAATCGTTTTGCTACTATCTACTCCCTTTTCTCACAGCTCCCACCATTGTACCCCATTACTTTGAAATTTTCCTTTTCCGGAGCTTGTTTCTGTTTTCTTTTTGGTATTCCGTTTGATCATACCATTTGATTTTTCCGATGACAAATCATTAAAACTGATATCTGATCATCGTTGCAATATGGGGACAGAGCTGTTTGTCATAGGTAAACATCCGTGCACGCTATTTCCACAGTCCCACACGTATACAAATCAAATTTCAAGTTATTTATGGAATTAAATTTCGAATTGAGTAAAAAAATCATATCCATACCTACACATACAGGTTAGTATTAGGTTGTTCTACAAGTAGTGTCGTTTTTATTCAAACAAAAAAAATCTCTGCGAAAATCTCATGTTTTCATGTCAACTTACAACCATTCAAAAGAGAGTTGTACCTGCTCTACTATATAAAAACGATGTTACGCGCCCACATTCAATGCAGAGCTTTTAAGTTTTAGGCCTGCGATTTAGGAGGGCCAGCCGACGAAAAATTGACCAAATCCGACAACTAGCTCCCATCCTATGTTCCCCTAGGACGTCAATCAATAATGAAACCCTCTACTTATCCATAACCTCTTCTAAACAGCCCGTTGTTAGGTTTTTTTAAAAAAGCTCTGCCATACTTCATTGCGAATTCGGTTTTTCTGGTTGACTGGCATTCAGCAGGATTCAGCCATTTCTGACTGGAGAATCGTTTCCTCGAGGATGGATAAATAGGTACAAATCAAACAAGGCATGCAATACACTGCGTTTCATAATTATAACTCCACCTAGAAATTTTGTGAAAACTCGCATAGGAAGAGTTTTCTACAAACTCTCTACATAAAAAAGGTAGTAAATATGAAAGTAAATTGGCCTGTTAACACCAACTTTCAACTCGAAAAAACGGAAATTTTTTATCTTCATTTTTATTGTAAATGCTACTTGGCCAACGTCTCGTCCTGTAGGCTATGAATTTGCGAGATTGTGTCTTTCGTTGTGGTCCGATCGTTGAGTAATTTGTTTGGTTTAATGGGATTATGGTTTTGAGACGTTGGCCAAGTAGCATTTACAATAAAAATGAAGATAAAAAATTTCCGTTTTTTCGAGTTGAAAGTTGGTGTTAACAGGCCAAATTTACTTTCATATTTACTACCTTTTTTATGTACAGAGTTTGTAGAAAACTCTTCCTATACGAGTTTTCACATGATTTCTAAGGTGGAATTATATTATAATTATGAAACGCAGTGTATAACTTCGTGGTTCGTTCTTAACATTCAACTAGTCTTTCAATGTCTCGACGGGAAAAAATTTTGGGCTAGATCTCAGGTAATGGTGCTTGACCGTCGAGTTCTGGTTGAAAAACCAGGTCTGGAAAAGGAGCGACGCGACTTGTTGGGAAACCTAATAGTGTAATGTTCAGAAGAGGTTGCGAATGAAGTTGAAGGTTCATCACTCCTAGGTGAAAGTAGAGGTAGTGCTAGTTGTCGGTTTGGCCGTTTCCCTCGACTGGGCCTCCCATTTCGCAGGCCTAAAATCCCAAAACCTGCAACGAGTATGAACGAGAAACATAGTTTTTCAAAGAGCTTTTGAAGGCACAATTCACCTTGAAGGATATATAAGTCGTACAAATTATGAAATTTTCCCAGAAAACTTTTGATCGAATAAGAACGGCACTGCTTGGGAAATGGGCGACCTACTAATAGTACAAGGGGGTCAGCGAATGAAGCAGTCTAGTTTCTCTCCTGCGTGTATGTTGCCCGATATGGAATGTGCCATTATGATAAACATGCATATCATGAGAAGGCTGACAAAATCTAAGACACACCTGGTCCATACGGCATGAGGCTCATGACAAGATCCACGCACGGCAATGTGCGATCGTCCTCCTCGTCGAACCTTCTCGAACGTCGTCTACCGATTCTGAACATGGCTTTACCTCAATGAAATTCTATGGTAGGTGTCATGGTTATTGGGTCATCAAGCTCACCTTTTGGTTCCATGTCCTCGCCGTTGCACATATGGGACGTAATTCGCTTCTATAGCGATTTTTCGGGCATCTGGTCCGAAGAAGTCAGCTTCTTCCTTAATTCTTGGCAATTTTGTGCGAACTATTTTTTACTCTCTCATAATAACTACTGGTCGAGATACAACATGTACTCACAAATAGAATTTGTGTGATCATGTAGTTCACAATTGTCGCCCTTGTGTTAGCTTTTTCTTTGCTAGAGGAGGATTGAACGAGTGAATTTAACCACCCGAAATATGACGGCTGAGTCAGTACAATCTGAAAAGGCTGCGGAAGATAATACTTAGCCTCTGCCTCTACTTTATCAGCTCCATAATTTATGTTTGAATGAAATTTGCAAATCAACTGTCATGAACCGATGTTCATGACGTAACGTAAGCTCCGCCCTCAGGGACGGTAGTAAAGTCTCCTGACGGCCAGTCTATAGTTGGCCAATAGGTCACGTTGACCTCGCCTTCGTCCGCACCTAAAAAGCATTGGGAAAGGCGGGAAACTCGCGCTGACCTGCCGCAGAGGGCGAGGTCTAGGCCACATCTTAAGTGGCCAACGTATAAGGTGGCACCTTGCCTAGACGGCGAACCCGGCAGAGAAAGGGGAAAGTGCGTGGAGATTGCAGAGACGCAGAGGGTCATGTAGAGGGCGACTAAAATGTACCCCTGAGTACATTTTAGTCGCCGTCTATCTGCGTCTCTTCAATCCCCATGCACTTCTCCCTTTCTCTGCACGTCATCCATTGGTCGCATTGAGCGTCTCTGCGTCCCTGCCATGCCTATTGATTCGTAGGATCGTGGGAGCGCAGAGCGAAGGGAAGAAGGGGAGTTCGTGGAAGGTGTTGAGAGTGCGGGCAGCGAGAAAGCCACTGGAGCTATCGATAATATTGATAACTTTCTGCCAATAAGGTGATCAGCTGTCCCCTGCAGTGTTCCACTTATTGATCGTGTTATAGCTCCTTCCTTGGTCCTGGGAGCATTTCACTACTGTACAATCATCTAGGCCATGATCCCACCAAACACGTCGATTGGCGCAGTGGGTTCGTTCCTTGTTGACATTGGATCGGTCACGGGATCAGTTCTCCATGATCTCGAGGTTTTGCAACCCTCATAGGTTACTACCTTGCATTCTACAATTCTTTCAAAGTAACCAGCAATGCTTTGTGGTGCAGTGGCAAACGTCGCGCTCATGGGCGCTGCATTACATGGTTCAAGTCCATGGCGACGCGACTTTTGCTAGGAATGTAGTGAAGCTCGCCATTCAGAGCGGGGTCATCTGGCTGTCTCGCCTTTCATTATTCACCGTTTACGGCCGTAGTTCACCACCTTTAACTCCCAGTCTATGGCACTTCACTTACACTTAACACTTTCGAATCCATGTTATGTATTGTAAATGTGATTTTGGCCTGATGGTACGATTGTAGAATTTGTAAATAAACAAATGTATGAAGAGATAGTGTTTCAAGAGAACCACCCAACCTTATATTTGTGAGTGATGCCCCTAAACATGGTGCATCAGCCGAACCCATAAAGCTTCACTTGACCATAAGGTACTAGGTAACTGAGCTCATATCAATTACATATCAAATATTTCTTATGTGACAAGGTATAGAATCTTCTCAGACCCAATTCTTCGCTCATATTGAATCTCAACGACCAGAATTGCTCAAGAATTTCAGACAACTTTGAAATAAACGTGTAACAACATTGCGTAAAGAAAATTTCTAAAGCTGTCACAACGGTTATTCTAAGACATTTGCGCAATATTTTGAAAGATATGCCCTTTCAGGGCCCAATTTTGCGTATCTTGATGGGTACCCTCGCACGCGACGCTTAGAACTTCGTGATCTCATTATTCCTTTACTTTTTGTTCAATTTCTTCTCAATTTCAAGCATTCAAGTCGACTATATTTCTACCGCGGTAACAGCGGTCACGATGAGAAGGCAACTCGGAAAGAAATCCCGGTGGCAGTTCGATAGTCTGGCCAAGCAAAAGGCACCTTACAATTTCATTTATCGCCGGCAATTTCCTGTATGTATAGCCTCTCTTAGCAACGATTATGTAATTATGTAGTATGATTATGTACGATTATTTTCATCGCAGAATAGAAAAGCTATCTCTTAGTTAACTCCTTCGACGCACTTTATGCAATTAACCATATAATCCTCGGGAGAACGACCGATAATCGTGTCAACTCGAAAGAAAATGATTAAATACACGGAAAATCAAGCAAATTTATCAACTTATTACAATTTCAAGATCTCTTCTAGCGATAAAAGAACATAAGTTCTATAATCGTACTCTTCCCTTCCGGAGCTTTGATCTAAACGAGCCCTGAGCCGAAACACATTCTAAGTATATACCGAACTAGCACCACTTCGAAATCCACTTTTGAACAAAAAAAAAACTCTTGGAAAAGTGAATCAGGAATCTCGTGGTCAAGAAAAGATACAAGTATGTGGTAATAACTACTGCTTAGAAATGGAAAATCCAGGTTGGAACATACTAGTCCAATTTCCCGCAAATTAAGCTGCTCGTACCACGTACTAGTCAAAACTTTATTGGGAAATTCAACGCAAATGTCTCACTAGGCTTGTTCACCAAGTCCCTTTTGTGAGCAGATCGATTGCACATTTTGCTCACCGATGGTCACGAATCCAGAATGTTGGCCTCGGTTGGCAATTATGCAAGCCACTGCTCTCCTCTGCACCAGGGTCAAGCGAGGCGTCGAGGAAAATTTGGAAATACGACCCCCCCCCCCTCCCTCCCCCAGAGGCCGAAGTCCATGAAACGACCCTCTTCAAAAGCCGAACTATGAAAAGGTTGTTTAATTCTCCCCAAAACTGTTCATAAAAAGCCCTGCTACCCCACCGTCCACCAAAAAATTCGTTTAAGAAGTACAAAAGTGAAAAAGTCAAAGAATGATCATTATTGATGAGTCCTACCAAACGAGCAAACGAGAAACGGAGCAAAAAACGACAAACTAGTCACTAAAAATGGCATACTATGACAACATCTCTTCTTTATTTATTTCCTTCCACAAGACTTACCAAATTCTAGTACTACACAGATATGGTTCTCAATTTACACGTCCCCCTTTCGCTTGAAAGAAGCCTTGTAACCGCCTTCGCCAGCTGTGTGTTGACTGGACTTTGGCGTTGACCGTGGAGCAGCTTATTTACTATTGAAATTTGAACAAATATTCAAATGATTATAACTTTCTTCAAAGTTAACGAATTTTCAATC